CATACTTATGTAATATTTTTCGAGAACAAGGTTAAGAATGAGTTGAAACAAATTTGCAGAATTTTAATAAATTGTTTCAATGATACTAACAAAAATATTTATTTACAGTAAATAAATATTTACTCAAAATGAAAAAATATTCTATACAGCATACTTTATCCCAGAAATATTCCTGCGAATGTTAGAATGTTCTCAAAATGTTAGGACATTCTCAGAATGTTCTTTAAAACGTTCTTTGGACATATGTATATTATATGGGATACTTAAATCAAATAAATATATATTTATATCTAATATTATAAATATTTCGTTAGTATTATTGAAACAAATATTTATTAAAGTTTAGTAAATTTTTTTTAACGTACATATTACAGCGTGTTCAAACCGAATTCTTTATTGAAAAATGAATTTTAATGATCATTTTGAAATCTTTTTACATCATTTTAGTATTATGATGACTTGTTATTCTGCTTGGGCAATAACTACCTGAAATAAAGCTGTCCTTTACCTTGTACAGTGTCTTCACCGTAATCACAGGTGAAGACACAAAATAACCGCGCGAGCGAGATACCATCATTCAAATTACCGTACTAGCGTCTACATACATTCGATAAACGGCAATAGTGCTACCGGTCATGTATCAAGAAACGAGTCTCGCGAATGCATCTAATCTAAACGCGCCAAGTCTCGCGGGTAGGGCGCTCGGCGGAATGGAAGCGAGATGGAGAACGCGAGCGAGTCGCGCGATAAGGACAGCATCACCACCGTCCGGGACTCCGGTCGCGTTAAAACCGTGCACGCCGCGCGCGGCGTCTCAGTCGCAGCACCGCGCGCGCGCCGTGAATGCGATTGAACGCGATGTTACACGCGCGCTAACCTACCGTGTCGTTTCGTTCTCGCGGCGCATCGCAAGGAAGAATCGTGCAATACGCGAGAGCAGGATAACTTGGTGCGCGCTTGTACGTAGAAACGAAGCGCCAGACCTTGCCGTGTCACGATCGTCACGGGGCGTCGTCGAGAGGTTGAGGTTGTGAGGTTAGGGACGTCGCCCGTGTGTGCGCCGTTTACGGACAGCGTAGTGTCGCACACTCGCACGCACGCACGCACGCACGCACACACGCAGCCACCTGAAGCAAGCTGTGCTCGTGGACGCCACTGTCAGTTTTACATTCAACTAGTGGAAGAACCCCGGGGCGAGTACTAAATGGCGTAACGGCGGCGCTCGTGGACAACGCACGACGGGAAAGAGAGAGAGAGAGAGAGAAAAAGAGAGTGAGAGAGAGGAGCTGGAAGAAAGGCGCGGAGCCTTTGATTGTCCGTACCGTGACGTAAAGGTGAGTAACGGATCTCTTCGCGAATGCGTAACTTTACACTGACAGGGGACAACGGCGGGGAGGGGGGGGAGGGAAGG